TCCACACCTGGGGCGGGGGGGAGATTGGATATACTCAACCATTGTTCTATTTCAAATAGTCACTGGAGCCTATTTGTCTATTGAAGAACAAATTCAAACAAAATTGATTTTGTCAAATACAGGGAATATGATAGCTATTTAAATTGCAAGCTCCAGGTATACTAGCGAGCAAAAGAAACGCAAAAAACCCCACTATTTTGGCCAAAACGAATAACTAACAATGGTAAAAGACTAAAGTTTACACCGTCGATAGTACATATCCTCTTTGGAAATCAAAAGTCGCCCGTCTTGCTTGTCACCGGCAACTAGAGTTGTTGCCCTTTAATTCAAGCATGGAAAAGGCCACGTGGTGCCTTCCAAACATGGTCTAAATGAATGAAAAAATGGTGAAAAGTATTCTCCTGAGCTCGGGTATAAAAGCCGTGGTAAAAAATCGGCTAGGTCTTTTCGCCTGCAATTGCTACGACAATGCCACGTTTAAGGACTAGCAATTGCTACGACAATGCCACGTTTAAGGGTTAGATCTATACAGCAAGAAACGGCAATAGGCCGTTTGGAAGGTGGAAAAAGGCCAATTGTGGTTGCCAATCTTGTTGATGTTCACATCTCGACTATCCACAGACTCATAACCCGTTTTCAGCTCACGAGTTTTACGTCGGACCGAAAAATGAGAGGTCGACCTGGAGTGACTGATGCACGTGTATACAAATACATTGTCCGGATATATCGTTCAAATCGACTTCAGACAGCTACAAGAACATCAGATTTCATAAGGGGTACCCACGGAAGAGCCATAAGTCGACACGCAGTAAACCGACGATTACTTCAGAAAAGCCTTAGACGCCCTCGACTTTACCATGGTCCAGCCTTGACCGCACACCATCGCCATGAGCGTTTCAACAGGGCCCAGCACCTTGTCAACGGCCGTCTGAAAGAATGGTCTTTGGCTCTAATTTTTGGACGAATGCCTGTTCTCCATAGATACTTAACAAACAGGTACCTCAGAGTTAACCAAAAGGAAGGCAAATGTTATCATGACAGCTGTGTCATAGAACCCATTCATTTGTAATCGTTCGGCTTATAAAACGTTCCCTAAACCTGTCTTGCAACCATACAATGGCCACTCTTGACATGTGGGGTGTGGACCTATACGTTCTTACTCTCTGAGCGTCTAGGTGTGGACCCATCGCTCTGGAACCAGACCTCCTCAACAGATGCAAACTGCTGTTCAAAAGCGAAAGCTTGAAACCCCACCGGGCCTGTAGTTTATGGAGGTGTACTCATGATCTGGCATTGTGGAAGTCGAAATGTTTAATTCTTAATTGCTCCGACACCGAAATTTAAATGAAAACTCTTCGTTAACAAGGAATTCCAATATCTCAATGGCACCATATCACTATGATGTCAAACACACATTTCGATTCAAATACAAAAAGTACAGAAACAGTATCGTATGTTTGTTCTGTTTAGTAGAGGTTTTACGGCGCTCGCAACTGCATAAGGTGATATGAGCGCCTAGGAGTGGATGTCAACAGAGAAGTCCTAACAGGGAATCAGACTTACTCTGCTCACCTCTCTAGCTTCAACAGCACAC